TCTTGCGTCAGAAATGATTTTAAGATGGGATCTACAGGATTTAGCAACATACTGGATGTAAAGCTCAATGTTGAGGCCAGAATCAAGTAAGATGCCAAGACAGCGCGCTTGCAAGGATGGACTTATGTGGATACCACTAACTTGAAGGGAGAGCGAAAGAAGAGGATCAGTATTAAGAGGAGGAAAGAAAAGGAGCTCAGTTTTAGAGATATTGAGTTTCAGAAAGCAGGAGGACATCCAGTCTGATATGGAAGACAGGCAAGTAGTGACACGTTGCAGGATGACAGGGGACAGGTCCGGAGAGGAGAGATATATCTGGGTGTCAACAGGGTACAGATGGCAGTGGAATCCTAATGAGGTAATAAGTTTGCCAAGAGAAGCAGTATAAAGAGAAAATAAAATGTGACTAAGGACAGAGCCTTGGGGGACTCCAACCAAGACAGAACAAGGAGAGGAGGTATCATTAGAAAAGGAGACACTGAATTAGCATTGGGAGAGATAAGAGGGAAAACCATGAGAAGACAGAGGCACAGGGGCTGAGTAATTAAAGAGTTTGAAGAAGTAGAGCATCATCAACGGTGTCAAAGGCAGCAGAAAGATCAAGAAGAATTAGTATGGAGTATGGAGTATGGAGTATGGAGTAACTTTGATCAGAGCAGTCTCAGTAGAATGGAGAGGGCAGAAGCCAGATTGAAGAGGGTCAAGGAGAGAGTTGGAATTGAGGAAGTGAGACATATGGGCAAAGACAAATCTTTCCATAAGCTTTGAGGAAAAAGGGAGCGGAAATATAGGGCTATAGTTAGAGGGGAGGACGGTCAAGAGATGTTTTTTTCAGGATAGGTACTACAGTGGCATGTTTAAGGTCAGCAGGGACAAGAAGAGAGACAGCAGTTGAAGATGTGTGTTAAGGAAGGCACAAGACAAGGTGAGAGAGATCTGATAAGGTGAGATGTGACAGGACTGAGCAGGCAAGTGGTGGGATGAGAGGAAAGGAGAATCATAGCCACCTCTTGTTCAGTAGCTGGGTAGAAAGTCTGAAGGGTAGGAAAGGCATGATCTGCGTGTGGTTGAGAAAGAGAACAGCAAGGTGGGGAGAATTCTTTCCTTAGCTATTCAATCTTGTCGGTAAAGTAGCATGCAAAGCTATCGGCTGTAAGGTTAGTTTGAGGGGTGGCCACAGGAGGGCGAAGAAGAGAGTTAAAGGTGTCAAAGAGACACCTAGGATTGCAGGAGCATGAACTAATGAGAGAGGAAAAGTATGACTGTTTGACAAGGGCAGGGGGCTGCACTGTATGAACACAATATGAATCTATAATGGAGATAGTCTGCCTGGGTGAGAGACTTCCTTCAGGAGCGTTCAGAACAACGGTAGCATCTTTGCAGGTTGATTTAGTATGCCATGGTTGGGGCGTGTCCTGCTCGATGTGCATGTTTGGAGCGAGGCTGCTGCATTCAAGGCAGAGGTGAGGGTAGTGTTATATGTGGAGATGTCCAGTGAGGGACAGGAGAAGGAAGGGATGGATAGCAGTTGTGAATCAATATCAGCTGACAGCTGCTGGAGGTCAGTAGAATTAGGTTAGGCTGAGGTTGTTGGGTGAGGGGGTACTTGAGAGCAAACAAGAAGGGGTGGTGATCAGAGAGAGGAAATTGAGTTTTGCAGATATTAGACACTGTACATGCATAAGAGAAAATGAGGTCGAGGGTATTGCCAGCTACATGGGAGGGAGAATTAGCCCACTGTGATAGCAGGAGGGAGTAAGTAATTGAAAGTAGTTTAGAGGCTGCTGACATCCAAGGTGGGTTAATGAGAATATTGAAGTCCTCGAGAATTAGGGATGGAATATTAGAGGAGAGGAAGTAGGTTAGCCAGGCAGCAAAGTGGTCAAGGAAGAGGAAGGGGAACGAGGGGGGCGATAAATAATGGCAATGTTATCAGAGAAGGGTATAAAAAGGCAAATCGAGGAAATTCAAATGATGGGAAAGAGAGGGAAGGGGTGGTGGGTAGAAGTTTGAAGGAGCATTGAGGTGAGAGGAGAAACCCTACACCACCACCTTTTCATTCAGAGTGTCTTTGGTTGTGGGTAAGTTGAAGAGCACCAAAGGATAAAGATGCAGGGGTAGCAGTGTCAGAGGGGTTAAGGCAAGTAAATCTAAGGAACGAGAGATGAAGAGGTTGTGGACAGCAGTAGATTTTGTAATATTGCAAACAGAGTGTGCATTCCCGAGGGCAGTATTAAAGGAGGAGTTAGAGGAAGAGTAACATGAGATGGGTATGAGATTGGTGTGGTTCCTTGAGTTAGTACATGGTGAGTTTGCTGAGATGAGAACGGCGTTTGGAGAAAAATCACCAGCTGCTAGGAGCAGAAGGATAGAAAGTAAGTGAACGTGGGAGTAGGATTTGAAAGTTTTATAGGAGGGTATGTATATAGAGGATTTGGGAGGAGTTGGAGGAGTTAGGCTGGAAAGGTATACGTAGAGTGCATGGGATGAATAGAGAGGTGAGGGGAGTAAAGTGGAAGTAATGAAGATGGTGTTGCCAGGGATAGGTGAGCAGAAGGATATGGATATTTAGTAATGAAAGAAGTTAGTGTGAAAGTGAAAAATAGAAGGGAGAACATTATTTAGAGAAAACGTGTTTTGATATAGATATGAAGATTATACATATGCACATATATAATCATAGACATACATACACACATATATCAATGAGTGTTTAAACCATGGTTAAGGGTGCAGTTTGTTAACAGAAGGATTTCAGGTGAGGAGAGGTTTAGTGACTTGACTGGTGTGTTTTAAAAACCAGCTGATCTGCACTATCTATAAGCAAGGTAATGACCATGGGGTGGGTTGTCTTCCCTTCCTTGTCCTCTTGATTGCTCCCAATGCTCTGAGGTAGGAAGGTAGGAAGACAAAAACAAGTAGTATTTAGTATTTTTTTATGCATAGCTTTTTCATGCTTCCTTACATTATTGCTGATTCTGAGCTTTTCTTGTGATAAGTAGTTACTTGAACCCTGTTTTTGACCTTTTGCTGCAAAAAGAAACAAAATATATATATAGAAAAATTATGCAATCGTTTGAAGAAGCTCACTCACCAATAACCATAACGAGTGAACATTAGAGAATTGTAATGCAATTATATATTTGACATATTATACACTTAGGTAATTATAACTTAATTAAACTAATGATTTTATGATTAGCAATGCTACCACGAGGCAGATAAAATGTCACAGCAGGACCTTTGAATAAAAAGATATTGTAAAGGAAAATATTAACTACTTTCCTGAAGCATCTTTTCTAATTGTACTATATGTAGGTTCCTGGAATCTTTAATTCAATTAACTCGTGTCACTTTTTTAAGTACCTTTCTTGTTAGGGTCCTGATTTAATGAGCACTTAAACATAGTTGAGAAAAGATCTTCTTTAAACCTGCACAGTATTTTTCTTTGGCTTCATGGGCAAGTTAACAAAAAAAAAAACTGAAGTCTATTTTTACTTTTGTTGGTCTCAGTAATCCACAAGAAGTGTTGCAGTGCAGATTGTGATTTAGCTCATTGTGTGGAATTGTCCAAGTTCATAAGGTAGGTAATTCTCATTGTCATTTTTGAATTTTTCAATACATCAAAAGTCCAATAGACTTAAGCATTTAAGTCTCTTAAGTATGAAATATCTTGGCACACTGCATAAATGTGGTTGGTTGGATCAATCACAGTCACCTAAAATCAAATTAAGACATAATTAAGGCATCAAGCTGAGAAAATATAGATAGTTTGTGTGTACCAAACACTTTTTTTTTTCATAAGGAATTTTATTTTTTTTTAAATAAAAGTTTACACAAACAGAAGATGAGGACGCAAGGGCATCATAGACATAGAAACATATAATGTGACGGCAGATAAGAACCATTTGGCCCATCTAGTCTGCCCAATTTTCTAAATACTTTCATTAGTCCCTGGCTTTATCTTATATCTAGGATAGCCTTATGCTTAAACTCCTTCACTGTGTTAACCTCTACCACTTCAGCTGGAAGGCTATTCCATGCATCCACTACTCTCTGTGTAAAATAATACTTCCTGAAATTATTTTTAAACCTTTGCCCCTCTAATTTTAGACACTGCTGGATGTAGTAATAATATACATCAGAAGGTAGCTGAAGGGCATTGCTGCAAACTTCACAATCAATTAATGCCTGGGGCAGGAGGGAATAAATGATAATTTATTGCTTCTATATTTAGTTCTCACATAGTTCACATTGGTTGATTGGTACAGAGGGAACTCACTGCCTTTTCCCGTATCTATGTATATGTGTGTGTGTTTTTATATATATATATATATATATATATATATATATATATATAATTAGTTGGGTTTTTTTTGTTGCTTTTTTATTCCCTCCTCCTGCTTTGTACCTGCTTTGGGCCAGGGAGGTGTGATATAACAACGTCTAGTGGTCTGGTGGTGAGTGCCTAGGTATTCTCTTTCACGTCTGCCTTGATGTGGCAGGTGAGCATATCCTCTCATGGCCATTGGAGGTAACTAAAGGCCTCCATTTGTTTAAAGATACATAGGGATGTGGAAAGAGCGCAGGTAACTTTTTTCCCTTTGGTTTTTACTGTATGTATTTTAGTTGATGTGTACTATGGTCATTGCTGCCACCCAGGAGTGATGGGAGTTTGAGCGCAGGACTTGTTTCTTTGTATTTGTATTCTCTTTCATTGTTCGAACTGAGCTCAACTCCTGATGCTTGGAGAAAATGCCTTCACAAGCCTCTGCTATTGTGTAAACTGTATTTTAATTATTTTTTTTTTTTTTTTATTGTGGTAGCCCACAAAATATTGGGACATAAAACAAAAGAAACATTTGCGGCCTGCAGTGCATTTCTTGCAGTCCTGATGCATTGAGAAAAGGCCTTCACAAGCCTCTGCTCATGTGTACCTCATTTATACTAAGTGACCCATAGGTTGAGAAGGCGGTGACTGTGGCGGTGGAGGAGGAGGATGTGGTAGCCAACACTGATAGAGATATATATATATATATATATATATATATATTATTATTATTTTTTTATTTTTTTTATTGTGGTAGCGCCCGAAATATTGGGACATATAAAAAAAGACAACTCTGTTCCGCAGAGTAGCTGTTAACATTATAGTTGCACAGGAACTTTGTTGACTCTAGAGAACCTCGGGCAAATCGCACATCCCCGTGGCGGCGACTTTGCATGCGGATGTCATCCATATCAACTTTTGATGCCATTTTCTGCTCCTACCATGGTGACCACGGGTAACGTGGAATCAGGGTTCCATTCCGTACAGGGACCCTGAGAAACGGCTACCACATGCAAGGAAGGCAGCAGGCGCGCAAATGACCCACTCCCGACGCGGGAACGTAGTGACGACAAATGACAATACAGGACTCTTTAGAGGCCCTGTAATTGTAATGATTCCACTTGAAATCCTTTAACTCTGATCAATTGGAGGGAAGCCTGGTGCAGAGCCACTGACCTGTGCGTGCTGCAGATGAAACTCCACTATCGCCTGCTGCTGCTCGCAAAGCCTCATGAGGCGGTGAGCGGGAAGGCCGAAGTTACCCTGCAGCACAGACAGGCAAGCAGCAGCAGGGTGACAACACCAAAAGCGCGCACAGCCGCTACAGTGAATGTCACATCCTGACAGTGTCTGGGTCCTGGTCACCGGACTTCCCACCTCACTGTGAAACTACGAATGGATCGTTAAATCTGGTATGAACCCAAACTTTGCAGTTCGGGTTCGCTCAAGTCTATTATGGATCCTTTGATCGCTACATATATTACTTGGATAACTGATAATTCTCAAGCGCTAGGGGATGGCCGCTCCGCTTTTGCACCCTGCTACCTTTTATGCTGTGCTGGTGCCTCTGTGCGACCAGCGCCTCTTCCTCCAAACTGCTCAAGTCACTTGCATGACCTTGATTCCATGTGAGGTCTAGGACCTCATCATCCTCCACATCATCTTCCATCCACTCCTCAACACTGCCCTCCTTGCCGGTATGCACACTGCAGAAAGCCACAGCAGTTGGCACCTGTGTTTTTCCAGCATGTAAAGTCTGCAAAGGACATATGGAAATTGTTTTAGAATTTACTCCAGGCAACAGTTTTCCCTATAAATTGACCTCTCAGTTTGACTTGTGAGGGTATTGCCCCAGAATTACAATATTGTTGAAGTAACTCGTAGCTATTGATAACTGGTTTAAATATAGCAGCTTGTTATCTGGTAGTTTCTAGTGTAGAAGATATCAATCTGTTTTCTATCACTTAGAACTGTGTAACAAGTTTTGCAGGTGTGAAACAATATTACAAGTGACCGATGTGGTAAATTCGAATCAAAGTTACACTTCAATTTGACTCTCAGATATGAAGTGAACACCCCAAATATACTATTTAGTGTAAAAAAAATAAATTTACTTTTTAAAACTCCAATGTAAGCAGCAGATTAGCAGCAAAACAATTAGAATGTTTACAAGTGTGCAGTAAGCGCACTATTTGACGCTTCTATTTGACTCTCACGTGTGAAGTGCACCACAGGCCCCAAAATGTACTGTTTAGCACCAAAACAATTAGAATGTTTACAATTGCGCTGTAACCGCAGTATTAGATGCTTCTATTTGACTCTAAGATATGAAGTGCACGCACCAAAATGTACTATTTAACAGATTAGCAGCAAAACAATTTGAATGTTTACAAGTGCGCAGTAAGCACACTATTAGATGCTTCGATTTGACTCTCAGATATGAAGAACAGGCCCCAAAATGTACTATTTAGCAGTTTAGCAGCAAAACAATTAGAATGTTTACCACTGCGCAGTAAGCGCACTATTTGACGCTTCTATTTGACTCTAAGATATGAAGTGCACCCCACCAATGTACTAGTTTGCAGAATTCTTTCCTAAGCTGTCCCTATCAGCTGCAGCATCCTCTCCCTTCACAAATAAGACCGCATGTGCGTGCGGCACTATGCGACTCCAACTTGTATATAGAGGCTGGGTCACATGCTGCACTGGCCAATCACAGCCATGCCATTAGTAGGCATGGCTGTGATGGCTTCTAAGGGCACACGAGTCAAAAGCTTGTTGATTGGCTGCCCTGCAGCCTTTGAAAATGCACCATTAAATCGCCGAACTCCAAACCAGAACATACAGTGATATGTCTGTGTTTGGGTCCGGGGTCCAAAAAACCTAATGTTCGGTACGAACCCGAGCTTTTCAATTCGCGGTCGCTCAACTGTAGTGGACACCACAATGAGGATAATAGCTATATACGACTTTGTCTGTAAACAGATGTATCCTTAATCAGTCCTGGAGGATTCTAACACAAGACTCTCACTTAAGGCATATTATACTGAACCAAGCCAACATAACAGCAAGTAAGGGCCTCTGTCAGGACCTGCTCTGCCCTGTTCAGATGTCTGACCATGGCTTCTGGTATCCAGTACTCTTTTTAAAATTCTTGTTTAGTTTTTCTTGGTTTTTCTGGTTTTCTATTCTGTATCTAGTTTTCTTTATGCTGGATTTTCTGGGTTCATTCCTTTATTACTGGAATTCCCAGTCTCTAGGCTTCCTTTATATGTTTGTTTTATGTTGCCACACCCTTTCCTTTTCCATTAATCCTTTTGTTTCAGTTGGTTCCTGCAGGTAGTTGCTCCAAGTTCTCTGCCCCTTTCTTGCAGGTAAGTACTGTGTGTGTTTTATTGTTGTTTATTTAGTCATGCATATCTAGGCAAATAGGACCCACCTTACTTGGAGTACTTTGGCGCAGTGGTGGGCTGCATACATCTTGGCCATTTATGTATGTCTAAATCTCAAATGTTTTACATATATAGTACTTAGTTAGGTCTCCTCTTGTTTTGCCTTATATATCTTGTCTTGTTTTATTTTGTATTCCCAGTCCATGTACAGTCCTGTCCTGCCCTGTCCATGTCCTGTTCTTGTTTCCCTTATGTATTTTGTACATGTTCTGGGTTTTGCTTTCTATCCTTCTCTGGTTCTGGGTTCTACTAGTTTTGTCTTGTTTTCTTGTTTGGTGCCTATTCTAGTCTTACCTTGTTTCTAGTACTGGATACATCTCAGCATTCTTCTGCTCTGGCTTCCGTATAAGCTGCATCAGGGTCTTGGTAAGTGGCCGCACAAACGCTGGTGCTCAAGACCAGGGAGCGTGCTGTTACCCTGTACCAGGCCCTACATATCCACTACCACACTGAAGACTCCTTATAAACTACATCAGGCACAGGGGTCCCAGTCTGCGGACCGCTACCAGTGACAGCCTCACCACACTCAAACTCGTTGAAGCTCTGCATTTAACATCCTGCAGAAAATCTCACCACTCTCAGGTCTCACTTTATGCTCAAACTCAGTGAAGCTCTGCATTTAACATCCTGCAGAAAATCCTAGAACTCTCTGGCCTCACTTCACACTCAAACTCATTGAAGCTCTGCATTTAACATCCTGCAGAAAATCCTACAACTCTCAGGTACTGACTGAATCTTGGAAGATACTCCACCTCATTTATTCTTGGATTGGTACCACATTATCATGTTATAGAATTACCATTTATACATGTAGTTTGCGACTGTAATTTTCTGTGCATGCAGTTTGTATTATTGTTATTTAATGTTTCTGACCAATATTTCATGTGCACAGTTATTAATATTTTGGGTGATAGAATTTGTTTGCTGAACATTCCAATAATATTCAACACATAGCTAGTCTACCCTCCTCTCTCTCTCCCTCTTTGCTATGCTCTTCATAGCTGTAAATACCTTCATATAACTGTCCAATGTCCACCTTTGTTCTTCAGGCCTCACTTCACACTCAAACTCAGTGAAGCTCTGCATTTTTTTCTCACCACTTCCCACCCTATCGCCCATCCAGGTTTCCCCTAAATATATAGCATGATCCTCCAGCTGTTTGAGATGCTCGGTCAATTACCTCTTCATTCCCTTTATATTTTACCAATAGCTGCTTCTTTCTGTTAACGCTTTAAGTCATCACCTCCAAATTCCCCCTTGCTACCTCTTGTCTCAAATCCCCATTGTATCCTTTAGATTGTAAGCTCATGGGCCATCTAGCTAAGCACTTTGTATAAAAGAGCTCCAATGGCTAGTTATCAGCTTACGGGCAGGGCTCACTCTACCTCTTGTATTTGTCTGTGTATATTGTACATTCTCCACTAATTGTACAATGCTGTGGAATCTGTTGGCGCTTTATAAATACCAGTAATAAATAAATAAGGGTAAACGTATCATGGATATGGTTGTAACCAGCCATTATAGAAGTATAATAACCCTCCACATTTGGTTATCTAACAATATACGAGCGAGTTATCAGTGCAGCCTGTAAGTATATAAATAAAAAACAATGATAATTCTGAGGGAATAATGTTTATGTATGAAAAAACATGTGGGGAAGACTTTCATATTATTCAAGCTACGCATCATGGAACATGGTAACTCTGCTAGGTGATTTAGAGAAGCAAGTCTAGCTAGACATTTTAAGAACAAACATTCTGGAAATGAAAACAAACTTTGATTCTATGGAATCAAACTTGTCAAGTAGGGTCCCTGAAAAAGGGATCAGGGTTTGAAGCTCAGAAAAATATATTATGTTTGGATTCACAGATTGAAGACCCTTGATCCTCTGAAGAAGGTGCATCACTCCATCTCTGATACGTACGTCGGGCCCTCTGTGCTCCAGGCTCTATACATCCCCAGCTATCTGTGGTGAAGTTAAAATGTTCAGTTACATTTTATCCAAATATTCAATTTGATATTTATTTACATAGTGTAGATATACGTTGTTTTCTCAAGATCATATTAACTGTGTTTGCATTTTTTAAATCAGTATTACATTTCATTAGTTACTACAAGATTTTCTAGAATTGTTCTTTATGTTAGGTCTTAAAAAACATAAAGTGTAATGTCTGTTATGGAGCATGTCAACAACCCAAACACTTAGTCTTACCAGAAATCTCAGAAATGTTTTGATATTTCTTTTTGGGAAATCATGGCTTTGTACATTACACCTAATATCAGTCAACTTTAAAACTTATATCTAATAGCAATTGATTACTTAGTTAATGAATTTAAACAAAATTCCAAATAAAATTAAATAATACATTAAGTCATGGAAACACAAAATTAAGAATCAAGCCCTCAAAATGATGGGCACTAGAACTATTTAAAAACATTAACATCAATGTATAAGTCAGTTTTCTGTTGGTTTTGCTGATTGTTTAATTTTTTTTATCTTAGTCTGGTCAAGGTTTATTTAAAATTAATAATAATTGTGCTATTAACCCATCCTTTTTGGTCATTCTCCACCCTGAATCATTTGAATTTTTCCTTCATGATTACTGCTGTACATGATGTCATGGCTTCTTTTTGTGCTGTTATTACTTAGGTATTAGATTTCTATAGTCTAGTTCAGCATTATCTCATCATTGCAATAAAATGTTATGTTGCATATGTTATACCCCCATTTTGTATATCAAACAACTGGTCAACTGTAGCGTGGTGTTTAAATGTAAGAATCCTATCAACTTGGCCCATCAAATGCCATGTCCTCCTCAAAGAGTAGTGTTATATGTGACGGATTTGCAACTGCATTTCAACAATTACAAAAACACACCACTGTAGCCATAAAGTAAGTCATATGGTTTGAATATATTGACTAAAACCAGTTTATTATTCAATCAATAAACTAACACAGTATGCACAGTGTGACTCATAGTCCTTATTGCATCGGCTCTGCAGAAAAATATTCAGCTTGCTTTTGCCTTCTGATACTTATATCGCAGTTCATTGTATAAATTAATTTTGTTCCTTTACTTACAGCATCACTAATTACTCATTTCTCAATGGCATACTGATTCTTATTTTCTATGGAAACATTATTTTTTAAGAGATGTGTAGCTAAAACAACCAATGCAACATCATTTTTTAATTAACTACAGTAACTACAGTCTAAATTTCAGTTGTTTACAACAATATTTGCAGGTCTTTCATTATGTATCTGTTGTTCCATGTGATATAAAATGTCTTTCCATAATTAACAACAGCCTCGCTTGTTGATAATATAAATACATCTTCTATAATTATTTGATCAACTTTATCACTGTTTATATATATTAGACTCATTATCTCACGCTTTGGATGATCATGTATTAAACAAAAATGCTTGAAATAAAATGTGGTATGTTATTTTATGTGGTTGAAGGTAGTTCAGTCACTAATTATAAGCTATTCAACATTGTTGGTGGCTAACACTTAACATTTTTCTGGCTCCATTAATAGAATAGTTGAAACAGTAAGACCTTTAACTACAGAAATTTTGTGAACAACGTAATAATCTGCGAATATCTTCTTTTTGACCCCAATAATATCAGAATAGAGAACTGAGTTTAAAATGAGCTTGATTAGAACACATTAAAATACATAAGGGAACAATGCAGAAATGCAATATTGTTTTGTATTTCACAAATATTTTGCTGACTTTTTAATGAGTGTTTTGCAAGTAACCACAAGAGAGAGCTAAGCATCTGTTGCAAATGATGATAACTCTTTATTGCTAAATGCTTGATTATTGAGCCATAATTGACTTGATAAATAATCGCACAAGGACACAGATCTCTAAATACATGATTTTTTGTTACATTAAAAAAATAGTTTTATTCATAATCATAAAAGTGTTTTCCTATTATTGCATAGGTACATTTGAACCAAGCAAATCTTTCTGGAATAATAACAGTCATAAAATTAAAAAGAATAATAAAACAGAGCCATGTAGGGAATTTACACAGATAACATTAACAATTTTACTGGTTTCAATTTTAGTACCTTTCATTGAAAATTTATTGGGTTTTTCATGTATTGGATTTGAAAAATTCAGTTGTAATTAAAAAAATAAAGTGTGTAGATTTTGCAGTATTTATGCAAAATGCATGGTCCTGCACACATGCAAAGTAGCATGACACATGCATTATAGGATGCATAGCTAGTTATAATGTAGGATAAAGAAGGAAATATTGTGAATGTTCAGGTATACTTGATTATGTGTTGGGTATCTCTCTGTGAGGACTGGGTATGCTTTGTTTACTAAGAGGCTGTAGGGATGTGTAGTTTGCATATGTAAAAAGGATGTGTATTATTTTTTCAGCATTCCAACACATTACATTATTTATAGGGATTCCATAGTGTTAGGAATACAAAGTTGTATTCCTAACACAAAAGGGCCCTCTAGTACATAAATGGTATAAAAAAAATAAAATAAACTTTATTTACTCTATCTACCTGACTCCAGCGCCAATGTCCCTCAGTGCTGGGTTGGTGCTCTGCCTTCTCCAACATCATCCCACAGGGGGACCTAATGCTCATGGTCAGCAAGTGCATTAGGCTCTCCCTGTAGGAAAGCATACAATGCTTTTTTTATGGGATTTTCTCTGCCGCTGGATGTCCTCATGCAGAGCGCCTCGTTTGACTATGTGGTAGACAGCCAGTAGAGGTTGTGTTAGTACTGCAATGCAAACATTGTAGTTTATCTGAAAGTGTGGGGCAATGGGGGATAGGGACATTGAATCCTCTGAAGTTTTTTTGGTGCCTATAGTCCAATTAATGAATATATTTTTATATTGTGATTATTATTATCGTCTTCTCCTGCTTACCTTTTTTTTTTTAAGGTTACGAATCCCAATGGTTTGATGATGGACACTTGTGATTTACTCCTCACCAGATTTATTAGCCTTTGTGCTCAGAAGGGGAGTATGTGGTTTGCACCTCTGGAAATTTAAAATCATTTTAAATGCTCCTTCTGGTCCTTGTTGGCAAAGTAGGTATTTTTGATCTTAAACTGGATTTGTATTGAGGATTGTATGACATTACAAAGAGGCAATGGCAAGTATGTCTCTGAAATGGAGCAGTTCACATTGTTTAATTACATGCCATACTTGCAAGTGCCATTCAATGCAAATAATAGCTGTTGGTATTTTATGCTACTTTCATGTCAACATTTTTCTCACTGCATAGTCATTTCTGTTACTTTATTACTCTGGTAAGGTATGACATGTTTGACAGGGGACTTGTGACCGCAACTATAGCACATGTAATATAGATTTTGTGACAGATTGTAGTAAAATCACTTTCAGAATGTCTTCACATGAAAGGTTTACGCATTTCTAACATTAACCACTCTTGTCTTTTTAAACCCAGGTCTCCGATAAAGCAATGCTCGAATACAGAGTCTCCAACAAACCTGTTGCGCTTGTGTGTACTTGTTCCCTTGCAGTGTCAGCTCCTATACCTCTTTTGTAACTTGCTCAGTAAACTGATTCCTGGCTCCTGACCTTGGCATTGCTCTTATGGGAACTTTCCCTAAAGTTCTATTCCCTTTGCACTGTAGCTCATTTCTCAGATTGACTTCTTGGCTTGCTAAACTTGCTTTCTTGCTCACAGTAAAACCAACAATGCTTATGTCTAAGTTCTGTTATACTGTTACCTTCATATTGGACTGACCTCCTGGCTTACGACCTTGCTTGTGATAAAATGACAACACCCAAGATTAATCTCTCCATTCTACCATGCGGATAGAGAACCCAACTTCCTAAACTTGCTTTTAGTGAAACGGACAACTCATACTCTGACTCCTTTTTTCAAACACTTCAGACTCCATAGCTGTAAGTTAACAAAACGTACTAACAAACCACGTTCATACTCTCCACCTTGATATACACTGTTAATCTTCTATTGAAATTAAATATTCCAGTCAGGTATCTTTTGGCTTCATTAATATTATATTATTATAACTGGACTGTGCTAAAAGGAACCGCAAGGAGGAAATGTCTCCTTCGGTTGTCAACTTTATTTCTGTTGCTTAGCTCTAGTTCATATTTGTGGAAGTGATAGTCCACAATCAATTGTTTTTAATTTTAAAGTACAACGAGTTCTAGTTAATATTATTGTTTAAATTGGTTATCATTAACCAGTCAGCAACTCAATGTGACTTTGCCCCTTCTATGTTATCATAAGTTTCTATTTATTCAAATGCATCTAAAGTAAAAACTTAAATTATTCTTAAAGTTGTTGTGTTGATCTATTACTGTAATTTATAACACAAAAATAAAATGAAAAATATTACATGTACAAGGATGCTCCTGCTCTTTTCTCTCACACAGTTATTGAGAACGTATAGACAGGTAAAGGGGAAGGGACTATACGTTTTAAACAGCATTTAAGAGACTATTTATGCCAGCACAGATTATGGATGATTTGCTCATAACCTAAAACATAAGATGTCTCACTTACTGAAATGCGTCCTGCTGTTTTTGTTGCAGAAGAAGGGTCCTAAAGAGGAGAGTAAATGGACCATTGTAGCTTTGTGTTAGGTGTTACACACAAACACCAGTCAGCCATCATTTTTTTTCATGTACAATATTGCCATTGCATGGGGCCATTATAAGATGCATGACCCTTCCTTACTCCAGAGTTATATTTTTGAACTCTAAGAAACAGCACTTGCTTTTGAACAGAACCAAACATCAATCTCATTACAAATTGTTTGTATTTATTAATATAAATAAATCCTATATAAACAGTCTTAATTTTTATAAATATATAATTTATATATTTTTTAATGTCTACTTAAGAATAAAAACAACCTATTTTATATTGTTTGAGTAATAACTACTATGTATGTAAATGTATTACCTTATTATACTGTTAAAAAGTGCAGACCTTCTTGGTATTCAATGAGTTAGTCACAATAATAAGAATAATAAATACAATGGCCACAATTGAATATTTTTGGAAAGGTTTTCAAAATGATTTCATAATTTGAAAAACATTGTATTATTATTTTTTTTTCTATAGTGACATTTTTAAATGATGTATTTTCTATATTTTAATATTTAAAAAATATATATGAAAAGTGTTTCCAAAAATATAAAATCATTCGAAAAGCTTATCCACAAATATTAAATTGAGGCTAACGCGCCTTCTTATTACACTATATATATGGAAGGCGTGGCCTGAAGTTGTGGGAAGGGCTGGGTTACCCTTCTTAAGGGACTCCAGACCCTTCCCTCACTACCTGTTAGGTTCGACGGATTGTCCCACCCACCACACTGCTTTCATAAGCATTTTATAAGGTAGGCTCTCTTTTATTTCAGGCCTCCTTCCTCGTCAGTTCCGGCACACCACAACTGACATTTCCTTTCATGGTTTGTCCTATTTATGTAAGTTATACTACGGCTTATGCCCTGACCACAAATATATATATATATATATATATATATATATATATATATATATATATATATATTTTAGGTACCATTCTTTCCTGGGTGGGATCCCATTGTCCTGGAAATAGATTTAGAACCACATGTTTACTATTTTTTTTTTATTATGTCTACAAAATTAAAACAGTTGATCTATAATTGTACATTTTTGTACAGCTTTAATCACAGGACAGTTGCTATTTTTTTAATCTTTATGTGTCAAAAGGTTTTGTTGTTTCCTGTAGTTAAATAAAATATCCTTTGAGAAAAGAGAAGGTCATCCAACTGGAAAAATGAAACTTTATGTCGCCAATCGTGTTTGCTCAGCAGTTTTAAAAAAGACTAGTTTCAAATGGCTTGTCATTATACCGTACATTCTATGTCTAGACCTCGTTCTTATTTCAGCTCTGTTCATGCTGTTTGGAATTTCTTCTGGAAGGGCGCAATCTGATAAAGGACTTTGACATTTTACCGCAGAGCATTTATACCAGTCATATACTTTGTTAAAATATGTTGGAAAAATAAGTAAAACACAAAAATGATCATTATGATTGCAAGGCATAGCATTAAACTGGCAAGTAATTGTGATACTTTTTGTTATATTTGTTTATCAGCCATTGAAATGTACATGCCTAGAATTTATTTGAAACAATCTGTACATGGATGAATGATAAACATATATTTAATGAAAAAGCGCCAACTATGAACACAGAGTTAGAGAACAATATGTCCAGTAAGCACACAAATTTTAAAGTAAATATCTTTGATGCAGAGCTTAAGTTCTTAGTTAAATACTAGTCGATTTACAAAACTTAGAATAAAAATGTTTATAGATATCTTGAAAATATAGAAAAAAAAAACACTTATTCAAAGAAATAGCAATTTGTAATGATTTTTGAAATTCAAAATTGGTCTAAACTAAGCTTATTTTATACTTAAGTACTTGTAAAAATTATTTAATATAATGATATATAGTATTATTTGCATGTCATTTTAAATTAGCAGTCATTTAGAAAAGGGACTGGCACATCCTGTGATCTAATGTTATGTTAATTAATTCAGATATTTAAGAAATATGTATTTGTGAGGTGTTAAATATAAAATGAAATTAAGGAGCCCACACCACTTTATCTGGAAACTGGAGGCATCCAACTTCCTGTCAATCATTGTTACAAGCTCCATCCTGTTTATCTGGCTGTGAGTATAAGTAAGCATACAGAGAAAAGGACAAATTAGACAATGTTTATATCTCTCCCCATAATCTGCAATATTTGCACTGGCTTTGCTGTATCTCAATTGGGTTATAATGTAATTTGCTAAATCATTCATATAAATTTAAAAGAAAACTGAGCTCCCCAGGAAGAAGGTTGATAGAAGTTTTCAATGTTTTAGTCAATAGTATAATTCCCAAAGAAATTATAGCTTCTCTTTAACAAAAGCAAACGATCTGGCTCTCCTTAACTCCCAGAACAGGAACTTTATTAGGAAACCTCCAGCAACATTTCAGACAGGTGTAATAAAATACTTTATTGGGAGCGAATGATTCTGGGAGTTCATGAGATGCAGATCTTTTTATCCTGGTGTTATATCTATATCTGGATGGCAGCCCTGGTCCTGTGTGTACCTTGAGACATTTTACCTGCCTGTTTGGTGAGTACAATCTGTTTTGTATTTCTTCATACAGTTCCTCTTTAACAGTCATAAAATATATATTTTACTCAATAAATTAATAAACATCTACCTACAATAGCTACCACCCTGTATTGTGACTCCCACTAACGCTAGGAGGCAGTGGTATATGTAAGCCCTTGTGCTTTTCTTACATCAAGCACTCCCTTTAACCACTACATTCACCCCACTACATTCACCAAACACATTATACTAAATTAAACAATAACCCCTAAACTGTAGTATCAAAAGTGTAAACTTTAATCCCTATATGGCATTAACACTAAACAATAACTCCCAGAGTACCTGGACACATTTTTAAAACTCATACTACCTTAACATTTAGACTTACCATAATATTGAAATATCATAAAAATGTCATCTTAAGGTTCTGTAGACATGGTAGTGTTTCCCATACTTTGCCTGAGCAGATCCTTGTTAACCTCTTTTTTTTAGTACCTTTTCTAATATTTTGTCTTATTTGCTGTTATAGAAACTAGCTCAGTTCATAGACCAGTAAAATGCAAATAAATTAAAAGCAAGTCCATATGATCTCACTACTCATGAGAATCCTGACAGGTGGATTCACCACACATAAGGGAGATGGTAACTTATGTATCTTAAGTTGGATATACAAAGTTTTATGCTTATGATTTGTACACAAACATTAATATAATACATATTCATTAACATACATGTATATATGCATAAAAAAAAACAATTGTAGTGAATACAAATTCCAAATTGCTTTACATAGGTCAGGTAACCTATGGCCTGTGGGCTCGCCCACTACAATTTTGAGGCCCCATGATAAACTCATAGGAGTTCGACTCCAAGTACAGTTGACACAAGCCCAGGCAACCAATATTGACTCAGACTTTGAAGTCTCTTAATTGGCAGCTGCCTACTTAGCTCAAATATACTGGTGGGGGATGAATGTGCAATGAGGGCGCTTTGTACTTACAGTGCTCCCTTACACACCTGTAGTGTGCCTACAGCCAGGATATGATGCCCTCCAGCATAGGCATCACTACAAGATGAGAATGGGAGCTGTGCAGGAAGATCACAGTGAACCCAGCAGCCCCACTGAACAACAGCTAGAGAATCTACTCCAGCTCTGACACAGGCGGGGAGGCTGGGTGAACCTCTTAAAAAAAAGAAAAAAAAAAGTTTATATATATGTGGTTGTGTATGTGTGTGTGTGTGTGTGTGTGTGTAAGTGTTTGTATGAGCATGTGTATGTGCTTAGTAGATAGCTCCATAAATTGGTATTTATGGCAATCTCACGTAAGGAAAAGCAAATTAGGCAGTTATGTACTAAGCAGCTGAAAGATCAAATTTAAGAAAATTGCTTTTCTTAATTTTGATCTTTCATTGGTTTGTTAGATAACCTAAATCGGTACCCTTATGTGGGGTTACACATTAACCCCTTAAGGACACAACTTCTGGAATAAAATGGAATTGTGACTGAATATTTCCATCATGTGTCCTTCATGGTTTAAAGGATACCAAATTTTTGCTATTTAGCAAACAACTCCCTTAATTGGTATCCATAAATATGGCAATCCCTCATAAGAATCGTAAATTAGGTAGTTATCTAAGTTATCTTTATCTTTCAGCTGTTTAGTAGATAACTCCTTAATTTGTATGCTTAA